TCCGGCAGCGTCTGGTAGACCCCGGGACCCCAGGGCGCCAGCAGCTCCGGGCGCAGCGGGAGTGCGGGCAGCGGCGGCAGCTCGGCCAGAGCGAGAGCCGAGGGCGGCGGCGGTCCTGAGCTCAAGCCCGGAGGCAGCCCGGGTAGCGGAGGGTGCGGCAGGGACGATGCGGGCGGTGGGGTGGGGGGCAGAGACGAGCGGGTCCGGCTCAGCCGAGAGTGCACGCGGCCGCGGTCGCGCCGCGGATGCGAGCGGGAGCGGGGCCACCGAGCCGCCAGCTTGGCCGCCGCTGCCACCCCAGGGCCCAGTGCGCGATGCCCACAGCCTCGGAGCGAGATCCACTAGCCCGCTGCGGTCCGCCCAGCCAATTGGAGGCGCCTGCAATGCGTTCCAGCCAAACACAAGCTGGTGCGCTTACTGCCGTGGCATCCCGACCAATCACCGTATCCCGCGGTGCCTCCTTTACCTCCTTCGCCTCCCGCTGTCCTTCGATGTGCAAACGCGTCCTGAGCGCCCCCTCCCGGTCCGATGGTGCTCTGAGAGGCTGCAATCTCCAGGCCATGCCCCACCAGTGTAGAAAAGTGTCACAGCAGTTGTTGCTATTTATCAATGGTGACTCTGGAGTGATGCATATTTTCATTGTATTTTCTTTTTTGAGACAAAATGTCCCAGGCTGGTATCAATACGTAGCTCATATGGCGTCCCACTCGTGACCCTTCCACTTCCACCTCTTGAGTCTGGAATTACAGACCACGACCCATTCATTCCAGTTATAGAAGGAATATCATAATTCAAAAAGCGCGCAAGCGCGCACACGCACACACGGGCACACAAAAATAAAGAAAGTACTCTAACGAAGTGTTTTGGGTTGAATATGCTTCTCAGTTGGCAAAGTGCTTTCCGTAGCATGCATGAGGCCTTGAGTCCAGTCCTCAGCTCCACATAAATTAGGTGTAATGTCTAATACCAGAACTCAGGGGAGATGGAGGCAGGAGGATCAGAGGATGCTCAAGGTCATCCTCAACCACATAGCCAAGTTCAAGGCTAGTCTGAGGTAGATGAGATTAAAAGGAAGGAATTATGCAGTATATATGTTAAAGTTACTAATAATTGTGAATGACAAACAGGTGGGATTCTGGTAAAGAAAAAAATAAATAGCGGCTCAAGCTTGTAAGTCTAGCATTTGGGGGTTCAAGACAGGAGGATCAGGAGATCAAGGCCAGACTCAGCTACACAGCAAGTTTGATGTACCTTGGGCTACCTGACAGTCTGACTCAAATGTGAAATGAAACAACAAAAGAAAGAGAAAAAAAAGTGTTAATCTCTTCAATATTGGTATTGGAGAGTACCAGATAAATGGTTCGATGGTTAAGAGCACTTATTTCTCTTACAGAGGACCAGGGTTCAATCCCAGTACCTACATAGTGTCTCATAATCATCTATAACTTTCAGTTCTAGGGTATCAAGTGCCCTCTTCCAACCTCCTTGGGCACCAGACACTCACATGGTGTACATATATACATGTGGGTAGAATACTCAACACATATAAGATTATAAAAATCAAGAAAAATTTGGATGCTAGGCAGTGGTGGTGCACACCTTTAGTCCCAGCACTTGGGAGGCAGAGGCACATGGATCTATGTGAGTTCAAGGCCAGCCTGGTCTACAGAGCAAGTTCTAGGATAGCCAGAGCTATACAGAGAAACCCTATCTTGAAAAACCAAAAACCAAAACAAAACAAAAAGATTCAAGGCCAGCCTGATCTGCAGAGCGAGTTCCTGGCCAGCCAATGCTGCACAGAGACACTCTGTCTTGAAAACAAACAAACAAAAAAGAAAAATTTGGAATTGGAATACTAGAACTTTTCTTAGACTAATTAGTAACACCAGAAGGTTCTAGGGTTAATGACATGGATGGGCCAGGGAGTGTGGCTGTGATAGAGTGCTTCCCTGGCATGTTTGAGAGTCTGGACTCCATCTCCAGCGGGGGGATATGGGTATCATCTATTGACCTCAGTGAGAGCTGTCACTGGGAGTAGGTGGTGTGGGCTCACTATCCTCCAGTAAGGAGACAAGCCTTGCGAAGTGGAACAGTTTGTGAGATGAGGAGGAGGATCTGGGAGGCCAGGGCTTTCTTAACCTCCATTCTGAACCCCTCCTTGGAGGCCTGTGTGTCCACATTTGCAGCTCCAAGAGGAAGAAATGAAGTCATCCAGTAGCTAACATGGGATGAGGATGAGTGACTGGCTTTAGAAGTTTTTTAAAAATTTGGAAGTGTTCTGTAATCTGGTAGAGTAAGGAGTCCAAGAAGCCTTAACTGCTTATGGAGGTATTGTTTGTAGGGTCTGTGCCCTTCACTATTCAGAGATTAGTAGACCCAAGTAGAAGGTATTTTTAATGGAGGGGATTTTTTATTTAGTTGCTTTTTGGTTCTGGGGCCTGAATCCACACACTTGTACTCTTGACTGAGCTATATCCCTGGTCCCTGGAGTTCATAATTGTTTGAGATAGCTAATTTAGTTCAAGTTTACAGGCCATTCTAAATATCTAATTTGTAATTTAATTGAGCATTAATCAAAAAATGTGAAAGTAAATTCTTTTTGTTTTTGTTTGTTTGTTTGTTTTCCTGAGACAGGGTTTCTCTGTGAAGCAGTCCTGGCTGTCTTAGAACTCTTCTGTAGACCAGGCTGGCCTTGAACTCACAAAGATCCGCCTACTTCTGCCTCAGGAGTGCTGGAATTAAAGGTGTTCACCACTGCCGTCGGCTGAAAGTAAGTCCTATATCTAAATTATTAATTCAGTGACATCTAACCATAAGGAAAAAATGCTTTTGGCCTGGTGTGGTGGCTCATGCCTATAATTCCACCACTGGGAAATGGAAGCAGGAAGGACAGGAGTTCAAAACAAGCCTCAGCTGTGTAGAGGCCAGCCTCTAACTTACGTAACTGGGTTTCATAATATCCTGTATCAAAAGGTTGGTGAAATGGCTTGGCAGGCAAAAGTGCTTGCCACATAAGCCTGACATGTAAGCACACTTTAAAGCCTGGAACCCACAGTAGAAAGTGAGAACTACCCCCAAAAGTTGTCCTCTGGCCTCCACTCTGTGGTAATCGTGCACTCACTATCACACACAAATCATACACATACAAAATAATAGTAAATTAAACTTTAAAATACGATATTTTTATTTTTTAATTTTAATTATTTTACATGCATGGGTGTTTTGCCTGCATGCATGTCTGTGTACTATGTGCATGCAGTGCCCTGGAGGTCAGAAGAGCGACTCAGAGCCTCTGGGATTACAGACGGTAGCGGACCAACTTGTGAGTGCTAGCATGGATTTCCGTTCTCTAGAAAGGCAGCAAGTGTTCTAACCACTGAGTCATCTCTCCAGACCCCACCTCTATTTTTCAAGTAGGGCCACACTGTATAGCCTGTGCTTGGCTTTGAACTCTGAATTCTCCTGCTCAGCTTCTCAACTTTCTTGCTTCCTCCTTTCAAGGTTAGAGTATAGTCGTTACACCCAGCTTCTTTAACAACTTTAGTGAATGATTACAAATTAAAATAAGTTCTGAAGTGTTCCTTTTCGTGGTAAACACACCCTAAAACCTAGCCCCGCCCCCCCCCGACCCAATTTAGAGGCAGTCTTTCTTTTCTAGTGCTGGAGGCCAAACCCAGGGTCTTGAGCATGCCAGGGACATACCACTGAGGCACATACCTGTATCACGAATCCTAATTGGTCTTAATAAAAACCCAGAGCCAGATATTGGGGTAAATGCTGAAAGATCAGAGTGACAAAGGAACAAGCCACAGCCACCTCTTACCTCACCAACTCCTTGGCCTGCAAGGGGGGGAGCTGTCTCTTCCCACCTTATCACTTCCTCCTCTGCTCAGCCATGCCACTTCCTGTCTCCACCTCTCTAGTGCTGGGATTAAAGGCATGAGATCCCAAGTGCTGGGATTAAAGGTGTGTGCCACCACTGCCTGGCCTCTGTGGTTAACTAGTGGCTAGCTCCTCACTCTGCTCTCCAGGCAAGCTTTATTTGTTAGAGCACAAACAACATATCAGCATGCATACCCAGCCAAAAGACCCCTAGGTTGGACATGTTTTCCCCCTAGACTGTGACCAAGTGACACCCCTCCCTGGGGACAGGCTTTGAGTCTGTTGTCATGTCTTCCATTTGGAGTAGAGCCTCTGGCACAGAGCCATGTGATGAGTGAGTGGATAAGTGACGCGGGATATGCCAACTTCATTGCAATCAGCCCTCCTCCAGGACGGACACACACACACACACACAGGCAAACAACGAATCATACGGCTTTTATTAATACTTCAGCCCAGAGGATACCACAGGCTTGGCAGTGCCCTGGGCAAGTCTGGAGATCCCTTGCTGTGCTCCTCTAGCCAGGCTCTAATGCAGAGACCCTCGGGGTGGTGGGGAACAGGCTCCATGCTCAGCATTTCCCAGAAGGGCAGTGTCCTGGGGAAAGGCAGAACAGAACAGCATCTAGGGCACTGGTGATGCTGCTGAGGTCATCACTCAGCAGTCTAGGGGCCATGGAGCCTACTATCACTGCCCAGGACTGGGAACACCTGGAGGGATGATAGCGGTGACCCCTGAGTGGAGTATGTGGGCCACCATGACCCCTCTTACCTCTGTAACCATTTCCCAGTTGGCTCTTGGTATCTGCCTTCACTTCAGGATCCCCTACAACACAGACCAAAAGACAGGGGCATGTGGGCACCAGGGGACTTCTGCCTACCCAGCTCTTTCACCTCAGGCTTGTGGAGATGTCACTCACCAAAATGTTCCAGTCCCAGCTCTGGCCTCAGCTGCCCATAGGGCCCTGGGAGGAAAGGGTTAGGGTAGCTAAGCCACACAGCCCTGGGTCCCCTTCTTTTCCTCCAAATCTCAGTACGGCATTCAGGCTGGGCTCAGGGCCTCCCCTTAGCTTTGTGTTTTCCTTCTCAGTCCCTCCGTACCCTGGTACCATTCCCTCAGCCATGGGTATGTCCCCTCCTTCCCCATACACAGCTGGGGGTTAGGCCTGGACTCAGGGCCCTGAGGCTGCCCACACACCCTTACTCACACACCCCATTTACCTGCTTGGTTCCCAAGGCCTGCATATCCATAACCTGGCTTCATTCCAGGCCCCCAGGGCCGGAGGGCTGGCCAGGGGAAGCCATGCAGGGCCCCAGCCTGACCTGCACGAGGAGAACTAGTGTGGGAACACTATCCCCCAGAACTGGGCATTCAGGAGGCCCCAGTCCCTCTGGACTTTGGAACCCTCTTGGTCTCCCTTGCTGGATTATTATTATCATTGTTGTTGTTGTTGTTATTATTATTATTATTATTTTACCATTTCTCTCTAGGGTTGGAACTGTTGCTTTGGGGTACAGAAGAGTCTCCTCCCTGAGTCCTACAAAAGATCAGTTATTTATTCCTGCCCAGATCTTGACTATGGCCCATCCTCTTCCTTACTGTATCTGTTACCCTGGGTCCAACTCACCATTCCTAAAACCATTGGCTATGGGGAACCCTGGAGGATGAAAAAGAAGGTTTAGTGTGTGTCCGGGGTGGGGTGGGGGTGGGGGTGGGGTAAGTCTAACTTCCTGTCCCATATCCCAGCTCCCACCCTCATCCCGCTCCCCAGGCACCTGACTGCAGGGTCTCCGGGAAAATTCCAGTTTCCAGAGCTCCGTTCCCATAATGGAAACCTGCATGAGAAAGGTTGAAGCAGGGAGGGCCAGGACAGGGCAGCCAGATAAGAGCTCTCAGCAAGGAGATACAGAAAGACCAATTCCGATTGCAGAGCCCTTCCGCCCCACCCCTGCCCCCTGGTGGCGCAGGCATGTAATTTCAGCTACTTGGGAGGCTGAGGCAAGAGAACCCAAACCTCAAGGTTTGCCTGGGCTCTAAAGACTGTCTCAGGCAGAAAGGAAAAGCTGATGAGATGGCGCAGCCAGCAAAGCACTTGCAGCCCTAATGTGCAAGCTCGATGGACTGAGTTTGATTCCTAGAAGTCACATAAAAGTGGAGAGGACTGACTCTATAAAGTTGTCCTCTGACCCACCCCAACATGTGTCATGGCACATTCACCACCACCCCATAACAATAAAACTTTGAAAATAGAAAGTTAGAAAGTAAAAAAGGCTTGGCATGGTGGCGCACGCCTTTAATCCCAGCACTTGGGAGACAGAGGCAGGTGGACTTCTGTGAGTTTCAGGACAGCTGGGGCTATGTAGCGAGACCATGTCTCAAAAGACCAAAATAATTAATAATAATAATAATAATAACAACAACAACATAAAATAGAAAGTGAAAAGAAGGCTGGGGTATTTAGTGGCTCCATCCCCCTGGCTCACATCGTTCACCTCCTTATCCAGCCTGCTCCAGCTCTGTTTTCCTGTTCCTCCTCCAGGAAGGCTTCCCTGACTTTCCTTCTGGGCAACTTCTAAAGCTGCTTTCTTCCCAGCTTCCTTCTGACCATTACCTTCACCTCAGGCAGGGTCACAACTGGCACTGGCCATCATTGTGGAGGAGAGGATGTTGGGTGAATAAGAAACAGAACAGTGGTGGCCATGTCTGTAATCCTAGCACTCTAGAGGCAGTGGCAGGCAGATCTCCATGAATTCCAGGCCAGCCAAGGCTATATAGTGAGATTCTGACTAAGAAAGAAGAGAGAGGGGGTGGAGGGAAGGACGGAGGGAGGGAGATAGAAACTGGAGAGCTGAGAGCCGGCCGGAATAGAGTCTGGCCATGAGATAGATTTGCTTGAGCCCAAGATGGGCATTTAGAAGGGCTCACCAACTTTCTGCAGCTTGAGGCCATGGAAGCCTGAGGGAGAGGAGACTGTGGGTCACATATGACCCCAGCTCTTCCCTCCCTCTTCTGGAGGGGAACACAGAGGAAAGAGACAGAGGAAGGGCGGGGGTGGGTGAGGGTGGGGGTGAGGTGGTGGTGAAACATCCTTCTCACCAGGTTCTGCTTCAGCTCCATAGCCATTGGAAGGCTGGTAACCTGTGAAAGGGTGGGGGTCAGTGATGGAGGGTGGAGACTTTGCAGATCTCCTTAGGGACGGCATGCTGACCTAGGGAACCTTGAGAAAAGGCAGGAACTGGCCCAGTTTACATGGAATAGAACTGAAGGAAGAACTTAGAAACAGGGTAGACTATGGGAGGGTCTTCCTGGCCTTAGGGTACCAGAGGCAGCTTGAGAACAAGGGTGATGGAGGACCTGATGTGTGTGTGTGTGTGTGAGAGAGAGAGAGAGAGAGAGAGAGAGAGAGAGAGAGAGAGAGAGAGAGAGAGAGAAGTAGAGAAGTTGAGGATTTGTCCCTCTGAGATTCAGGACTTGGGGACAGACAGACTCATACCTGCTTTCTGAGGCTTTGGTCCCCACTGCATGGCCGGAGTTGGTGCTAGAATGAGGGATTCAGAAATGAGCCCTGTACAGGGTCTCTCTGAACTTCAGAGGATAAGACATCAGAAAATACAGCCAGGCCCAGCCCTTTCCAGAGCCACATGCCTCCTGGCACCTCCCGCCTCCTCAGGCTCCACACTGACCTGGGAATTTACCATTCTGCACTGGGGGTAGGAGCTGGGATTTCAGGCCCCAGGCACTGCCTTTGTCTGAAGGGACTGCTGGAGTGGGGGACCTGGGAAGGAGCTGTGGTGGGGCAATCCCACCATTGCAGGGACCTAGATTGGGGAGGGAGGCGAAGGTGAGGAGCCGGCTCACACTGCCACTCAAGACACCTAGGCCAGGACAAGCCATGGTTTGCAGTGGCTTCCAGGACATGCACAGCATTCCCAGGCGAGATAGCCCAGTTCTGTGGGCCATGCTGCTCAGGAGCTAAGAGAGCTGAGACAGGCAAAGGGCCCTGGCTGTCAGCCATGCCCTCTGACCTCCCTCCCAACCTGGCTGGGGCACTCACCTGGCTGGGCTGCCATTCCATTTCCATTGCTGTAGCCTGGGAAAGAAAAGCAGTAAATGAAGGGCAGGACGGGGTGGGTCTGCCAGAGGGGCAGGGGAGACAGAAGGCAGAGGTGAAGGGGCTCTCACTTGCCTGTCTTTGGAGGTTTCATTCCCCCTCCCAGGCCTGGTGGGGACAAAGAAGTGATCACATATACACACCCCTCCCTGGGAGTGAACCCTCTGCCCCGCCCCTACCCTGCACTCACCTGGCGGGATCCCCATCCCCAGCCTGTTCTCTGGCATGTACCCTGGGAGGAGAGCAGGCTATGAGGACTGGGCTGACATTGGGTGTAGAAAATCAAGGGAGGCAGGAAGCGGGACAGAAAGAGCCTCCCCTGGCTTCAGGCCTGAGGTGAGCTGAACAGGGTGTGGGGGACCCCACCTTGCCCTTGCCCCTTCCCAGGACCACCTGTGCCCGAGGGGCCTTGTTCCCCTTTCTGTGCCCCTTACCTGGCTGTGTTCCTTGACCTTGGAAGACTCGAGCTCCCAGCCCATTTCTGTACCCTATGGAGACGAAATGAGGCTACTCTCTTCCAAAGAACTTTCCTCTGATCTCTATCTAGTATCTGGCCTGCAGCACCTACCCCTTCCTCCCTTTCCTGGTCCATAGTTGTTGGGAACTGCATGGTCTAGTGGGCAGAGAAAGATGAAGGATGGAAGGGCCCTATTCAGGTTTTGAGAGGCCAGGGGGCCTTCAGATGGGTCCCAGAGTGAGTGTCCACTTGCTTCCTTTGCTGTATACTCACAGCCCCTACACCGCCTCCAGTACCTGCTTATTGCCATTCTGAACTGGGAGGAGGAGGGGGAAGCGAGTGGAGGATGGAACTAAAGTTAGGGAGGAAGGGATTTTGGGCTCTCCTTTAGAGTCAGGCTAGAAACTAGACTCCTTTGGACCTGTCCCTGCAGACCTGATTGGGGACCATGACAGGACAGCCAAACACAAACTCCCTTACCCAGCTGGACTCCAAGCCCATGCCCATTCCGAAATCCTGGGGATACAGATGGGAAGGCGCATTAAAGAGGGAGGAAATTCAGGGCTGGGGGGACAGGCAGAAAGACAGGCTAGAGCTGGGCGCACCTGGCTTCTGGGACTTCATGTCTGTTCCATAGTCTGAAAGAGATACAGGGAATGGGTGAGAGATGCTGGGTTCCCTGCCTCTGAGCCTCATAAGCCTGGCCCAGCTCCTACCTTGTCCATAGCCATTTTGAGCAGCAGGGCCTGTGGAGGACAGGGAAGATGTTATAGGTGGGCCATGGAAGAAGAGGCCAGGATGAGGGGTCCCTAGCGTCCCTCACCTCCCTCCATGGCTCCACAGTACCCCGTGTTCCTATTGGTTTCCATTCTTCCTTCACAGGAACTAAGGCTGGACTCTCCTTGGAGAGAGGCACAGGAAACCCCCCTCCCACCATGGGCTTAAGGACTAAGGGTGGTGAGGACAGAGAGAGAGAGAAAGGGCATGTTATCCTCACCTGGCTTCTGAGACTTCCCGCCTACTCCTGCGTTTGGCAAGAGACAGAGAGGGGCTGACTGGATTTGTGTCAGGGACTCCCCTCAATCCTCTATCCTCCTGATATCTGTCCCTAGCCCCTCTCCTCATCTGCCCAGTTTCCTAAAATTACCACAAGACCCATGCCCAGAAGACCACACCTGGCAGGGCATCCAGTCCATTTCCGTTCCCATATCCTGGGGAGAAAAGGGAGTGGGATGAGATGGGGACCTCGTCGGGTGGTGGTGGCGCGCGCCTTTAATCCCAGCACTGGGGAGGCAGAGGCAGGCGGATCTTTGTGAGTTCGAGGCCAGCCTGGTCTACAGAGCGAGATCCAGGAAAGGCACAAAGTTACACAGAGAAACCCTGTCTCGAAAAGCCAAAAAAAAAAAAAACCCAAACAAACAAAAAGATGGGGACCTCAAGAGGAGGCAACCTCTGAAGCAAGCAGGGAATAAGGGGGCTATCCCCTTCTCTGGATTCCTAAGTCTCCAGCTAGGAGGTTGCATACCCGTCCCAGGTCTGTGAAGGAAGAGGGAATCCAGGCCTCAGGCTAGACCACTCACCATTCTACTGACTGAACTCTCTTTGTGGTCCCAGTCCCGGCTCTCTAAGAGGCCTGTCTTTGCCTTATGGTCTTCACCTGGCTGGGATCCTGTCCCAGGAAAGGCCCCAGCTCCCAGCCCATTGCCGTAAAGAGAGAAGGAGGGAGACACGGTGGGAGTATTTACGGATTCAGGAGTGCATGGTCAGCGGCCCTGTGCTGACTGGTTTTGTCAACTTGACACAAGCCTAGAGTTTCTGAATGGAGACAATGCCTCCATCAGGTTGGCCTGTGGGGCTTTTTCTTGCTTCATGACTGATGTGGGAGGGCCCAGCTCACTGTAGGCAGAGCTGACGGTCCTGGGAGCTAAGAAAGCAGGCTGAGCGAGCTGTGAGAAGCAAGCCAACAATCCGCACGCCTCCATGGCCTCGGCTTCAGTTTTGTCAGGTCGTCCCTTCACGGCGGACTGTGACCAGGACATCTAAGCCTAAATAAAAGCTTTCCTCCCCAAGTTGGTCATGGTGTTTTATCACAGTAATAGAAACCCAGGCCCTCCCTGACTTCCTAACACTTATTAATTTATGAAACTGTTTTTCTCAGCGCAGTTTTGTTGTGTGTCCATTGGATTACAAACTTTATTAAAAAATACAAAAAACAAAAAAAAAAAAAAAAAAAAAAAAAAGAAACCCAGGCCCAAAGTACACAAGACTCACCTGGCTTGTGGGGTTTTCTGCCCCCTCCAAAACCTGTGGGAGACATGCACAGCTGGTGAACCCTGCTTGCTCACCCCCTGCCCCATATACACACTGTATAAAAGTCTCCCAGTCCCTCTGGACCCCGCCCCTACCTGCTCCAAATCCACTCTGGGCTGCCATGCCTGTGGGAAAATAGGACATGACGTTCAGCTGAGGTGGAGATAAAGGGGTCCTCTCTTGTACAAAACTAGAAACCTAGAATCCTGGAGGTTTGCTCTCAGCACCCCTCAAATTTGTACCAACTCTGCCCCTCTGAGGCCTAGGAGGGGAGCACAGAGGGACACCCCAGATGTGGGTCCCTCAGGTCCTTCTCTCACTTTGCTGGGCTCTCAGTCCATTCCCATTCCCAAACCCTGGAGGGACAAGAGAAGGTGGAGCTGACTCAAGGGGGTGCACTATCATCAGAGAGAGACCAGCATTGGCAGGAGGAAGTCCCACTGCCTTCTGGGGGTTTGCATGCAATCCAAAGCATGAGAGGAAATGGGGAGCAGGTGAGGCCCCAGGAATGCCTCTCTTAGAACCCTGGTGCCCTGGCTGTAACCCCTGCCAGTCCCCTGGTGCCCTCACCTGGCTGGGCTGCAGCTCCTATTCCATGCCCATTGCCAAACCCTGGGAGACGGCAGGAAAGAGTCAGTTAGGCCAGGCTACATAGGGGTGAGTGGGCTGGGCAGGGACAGGGCGGATCTCACCTGGCTTTGGAGGTTTCATGCCCCCTCTGATGCCTGAGAAGGAAACAGGGACTAGGTGAGGAGCCAGGGGCTCCCCAGAACCCCAGCCCTAGCACGTTCCTTCCACCCCTTCCTTTACCTGGTCCATGGCCATTCTGAGCTGAGGGACCTGAGAGGAAGGGAGGGATGAACAGGAGCAAGAGGCCTATAGTCAGTCCTCTCTTCATAGCCACGCAAAAAACCAAGGTTCCTGAGGACTTTCCCAGCCCTCCTCCTCATTGACTGGGCCTGTCCCCCAAAGCCTTAGAGAGAAGGTGGCTGTAGGCAAGCAGATCCACCCCCCACGGCCCACCACCATCACCTGGCTGGGCTCCCAGGCCAAGTCCGTTCCCATTCCTGAATCCTGGGGGCAAAGAAGAATGTGAATGAAGGAGCGTTCCAGGCCAGAGGAGAGACTGGCAGAGGAACAGCTCAGGACGGGGCTTACCTGGCTTCTGGGCCTTCACACCTCCATAGTCTGGAAGAGAGACAAAGATCAAGATGAGGGACAGGGGGTTCCCATTTGGGGTCCTTCCAAGGAGCCCAGCCCTGCTCCTGCCTGGTCTGTAGCTGCTCTAGGTACAGGACCTAGTAGGGAAATGAAGGAGACTAAATATCAGGCCTCTTTCTGAACCTCAGCCCAAGGCCTGGAGCTCCATCTCCATCCACCCACAGACAGCTGAGCGTGGGTCTTGGGGGGTCACACTGTGCGCCCTCTCCTTATATCTTTCTTGCTTTCCCTGCCCCACCCAGAAGCATCCAGCATCTTCACACGGTGTCCCTAGTGGCCTCTGAGTATTCAGACCTACAGTGCTTACTTATGGCAATGCTGCCCGAACCTCTGCCCCCCAGGTCTGGCTCCAGAACCCCTCACTTTCTGCCCCTCTTCTGTCCTCTGCTGCTCCTCGGTCTCTTTCCCAGGTTCCTTTCTTCCGCTCATGTTCTAGAAGGCGATGGTTCTGTCTTCTGGGATGAGCCTTTAGCCTCCTTCTTGGGTCTTGCCTCTCTACAGCTCTGGATGCCATATCCAGCTGCCTGGGTCCTTCCTTGGTTATCACAACCAGCCAGAAACATATCTCCCTCTTTCATCCACACTATGTCCTGCCTTCTGGGCCCCTCAGCCATTTCTAGAGCCCGCCACCTCTTTCTGTGGATGTCTCTTCCATGCTTCTCAAGCCTCCACCTCTTTTGAGTGGGACACAGCCAACTTCCCAGTTTCTACTTTCTCTGTTCTAGAATGCTCAGGGTGGCTCTTGTGACAGCCTCAGTACCATGCTGTTGTCCTGTCTGTTTTCCCAACATGCCTTGGGCTTCCCCACCTGACTAGCCAGGGACGGGTGTGGTTTGTTGAATGAGTGTTTGCCGTGTGAGGCTAAGTTGGAAAGCAAGCAGATGGTCTCACCTGGCTTCTGGGGTCTCATTCCTTCTCCAAGGCCTGGGGAACAAGAGAGATTTTTAGGCCTCCACATTAGCACTCCCACTCAGGGGTGTTTGAAAAATCACAGTGCTTCACCTGGCTGGGCTCCAGTTCCTGGGAAGGCCCCAGCTTCCAGCCCATTTCCATTCCCAAGGCCTGGGGAAACAGTGAAGGAAAATGAGATCGTGAGCCTGGGAGAAACGCAGGTGTATAACACAAGGGTGGACACCGGGAGAGTCTCACCTGGTTTCTGGGGTTTTCCAACTCCCCCAAAGCCTGGAAGAGACGTGTAGGTGAGGAACCCTCATTTCTGGGCTGGCTTCTTTCCAGAAACTCAGCCTGGGACACCCTGCACCTGTGCCTGTCCTCTTTACCTTCTCCAAGGTCATTCTGAACCGGGATAGAGGGAGCTGACCTAGGCGCTATGGATGCACTTAAATGGGAATGAGGCTGAGCTGGTCAGCTCCTGGCTCTTCCTCATTCTTTAAATTCCTTCCCAGTTGGATCTTTACTTTTCTTGTTTTGACACAGGGTCTCACTATCTGGTCTAGAACTCTCTCTGTAGAGTAGGCTGTCCTTGAACTCACAAGCATGTTTCTGCCTCCTGAGTGCTGGGATTAAGACCCTCATCACTAGCCAGGTAATAGTGGTGCACGCCTTTAATTCCAGCACTTAGGAGGCAGAGGCACACAGCTCTGAGTTTGAGGACAGACTGAGCTACAGAGTAAGTTCTTTTTGTTTGTTATTTTAAAGATTTATTTTATTTATCATGTACACAGTGTTCTGACTGCATGTACCCCTGCAGGCCAGAAGAGGGCACTAGATCTCATTACAGATGCTTGTGAGCCACCATGTGGTTGCTGGGAATTGAATTCAGGGCCTCTCGAAGAGCAGCCAGTGCTCTTAACCTCTGAGCCATCTCTCCAGCCCCCTTGTTTTTGTTTATCAAGACAGAGTTCCTCTGTGTTACAGCTCTGGCTGCCTTGGAACTCACTTTGTAGACCAGGCTGGCCTCAAACTCACAGAGAGCCACCTGCTTCTGCCTCCTGAGTGCTGGGATCAAAGGTGTGCGCCACCACCGCCCGACTTAGAGTGAGTTCTAAGTGACCCTATCATTGTGCTCTGTTTTGTTTTGTATTAGAGACAATGTTACTTGTAACTCAGGCTGGCCCCCTAACTCACTATTAGCCTAGGGTGACCTCGATAGAGGGTTTCTACCTCCCAAATGCTAGGAATACTTGTGCCACCACACCCTGATTTGGGGTTTTATTGTTGTTGTCGTTTAGTTGGTTGGGTTTTTTTTTTTTGTTTGTTTGTTTCTTTTGTTTTTAAGACAGGGTTTCTCTGTGGGGCTCTGGCTGTTCTATAACTAGCTCTGTAGCCCAGGCTGGCCTTGAACTCAGAGAGATCTGCCTGCCTCTGCGTCCTGAGTGCTGGGATTAAAGGCATGTGCCACCACTGACAATGCTGTTTTTTGTTTTGTTTTGCTTTGTTTTTTTTGAGACAGATTTTGCTTTGTAGCTCAGACTAGCCTGGAGTTCACTGTCTTCCAAACTGACCTGAAATTCTTTTTTTTTTTTCTATTAAGAATTTTTTTTATTCATTTTACATATCAATCACAGATCCCCTCTTCCTTCTCCCGCCCCTCTAGCCTTCCTCCCCCCCAACCCCCCAGTGCCCCCCCCCCTGCAACCCATCCCCAACCTGGAACTCTTGATGCTCTTGCCTTGGGCTCCTGAGCCCTGGGATTACAGGTGTAAACCACCTTGCCCCGCAGGGGTTTTGGTTATTGGCCCGTAAAGTGAGCTCTCCAGCCTGTGCATGGTTGGACTGGAGCTACATGGTGTCCATTGGGCTCAACACCAGGTCTGGCTCAGGGATGCATCTGGGAGATGGGTTAAATGAATGACCCCCTAAAACCCCTGCCTTAGGGTCCCCAGGTGGGGGCCCTGGACTTGCCTCTCCATCAATGCACTTACCTGGTTGAGCTCCCAGGCCGTTTCCATTGCCAAATCCTAAGGGGAAAATCGGGTGTGAGCGGAGAGTTTGAGGGGGCTTGGGAGTAAACGAAGGTGACAGGTGGGTGGGGACACGGGAAGGACAGGTGACTGCTCACCTGGTTTCTGAGTCTTCGTGACAGCTCCCAAACCTGGGGAAGACCCAGGGAAACTAAGCCATGTGCAGATCCCACACCACTCAGACTGTTCTAGAAATCAACTGTCTTGTTTCTTTTTTTTCAGTACTAGAGATTGAATCTGAGGACCTGTGCACACTGGGGAACTGTCCTGCCACTGGACTATATGCCAGAGACCGTTTTTTTAACGTTTATTTTCATTTTATTTATTTTAATCTATTTTAAAATTCTTTGACAATTTTACTTATGTATTTAATGGATTTTGGTTATTTTCACACACATACTCACACAAACACACACACACTCACACCACATAGACACACACACTCACATACACTATTACCTTCTCTTATCCCTTCCCATCTTCCTCCCACTATTTTGTGTGTATGTGTGTGGGGGGGAAAAGGGTCTCCCTGTGTAGCCCTGACTAACCTTAAACTCAGAGATCCTCCAGCCTCTGCCTCCTGAGTCCTGGGATTAAAGGTGTGCACCACCACTGTCCTGCCCCACTATTTATTTTTATGTTTTTATTGAGAAAGTCTTGCTATGCAGCTCTACCTGGCCTGGAACTCTCTATATATATACATATACTAGTCTGGCCTCAAACTTACAAAGATCAACCTGCCTCTGCTTCCTGAGTGCTGGGACTAAAGGCGTATACCATCATGCCCACTTTATTTAGTTTTTGAGAGAGGGTCTCATGTAAGCCAACCTGACCTTGAACTGCCTATGAAATTGAAGATGCCCTTGAACTCCTGGTCTCCTACTTCTGCCTCTCAAATGCTGGGATTGCAGGTACATTCACTAAGCCCAGTTTATGTGGTTCTGGGGATCAAACACAGACCCTGACGTGTGCTGGACAAACACTATTCCAGCTGAGATAAGTCATCGGCCTCTAGTTTCCATTCTGAGACAGGGTCTCCCTATGTTCCCCAGCCTTGAATTCTCTCATCAGCCCACGCAGTCCCTAAACTTTCAATCATTCTGTTTCAGCCTCCCAGGTATCTGAGGTTACAGGTCTGTGCTCCAAGACTTGATTCCAGAAATGACGTCTCCTACTTTTTATTTTTTTTCTTGAGACAGGGTTTCTCTGTGTAACAGCCTTGGCTGTCCTGGAACTCACTCTGTAGACCAGGCGGGCCTCAAACTCACAGAAAGCTACCTGCCTCTGCCTCCTGTATGCTGGGATTAAAGGCATGCACCACAGAAATCAGCTTTTGCTCTCCCAGACTATGACTTCCCCTAGATTCTCCCCTACCCTCATCTCCAGATCCCCAGTTTGGTCCAGGTGCCCTCACCTGGCTGGGCTCCAACTCCTGGGAAGGCCCCAGCTCCAAACCCTGGGAGACAGCAGGAAAGAGTCAGGGAGGCCAGGCTACATAGGGGTGAGTGGGCTTGGCAGAGACAGGGCAGATCTCACCTGACATTGGAGGTTTCATGCCCCCTCTGATGCCTGAGAAGGAAATAAGAACTAGGTAAGGAACTAAGAGCTCCCCAGAACCCCAATCCTAACACATGCCCCATCTCCTCCTTTACCTGGTCCATGGCCGTTTTGAAGTGCAGGGGCTGTGGACAGAGAGAGGCAGAGCTGCAGCCGGGCCAGTATGAGGATAGACTGAGGTAGTTCAGACCACTCCCATGATATCCCTACCCGAGACATTTGTGTCCCAGGCCCCCAGCAATTCTCTTAGAGAACATGCCCAAACATCAGCCTAGAAGACCCTCTCTAGGCCAGAGTCTCCTTCCACTGCTCTTGGGAGGTAATGAAGTGACAGAGGTAGGGATGGAGGAGAGAGAGAGAGAGAGAGAGAAGAGGCTGTGGTGGCACACACCTTTAATCCCAGCATTTGGGAGGCAGAGGCAGGCGGAGCTCTGTGAGTTCCAGGCCAGCCAGGTCTAAAAAACAAGTTCCAGGACAGCCAGGGCTGTTACACAGAGAAAACTTGTCTTGAAAAACCAAAAGAAGGAAGGAAGGGGCTGGAGAGACGGCTCAGAGGTTAAGGGCACTGGCTATTTTTCCAGAGGTCCTGAGTTCAATTCCCAACAACCACATGGTAGCTCCCAACCATCTGTAATGAGATCTGGTGCCCTCTTTTGGCCTTCAGGCAAACCACTGTATATATAATAAATAAATAAATAAAATAAGAAGGAAGAAAGGAAGGAAAGAAGGAAGGAGGGAGGAAGGAAGAAGGAAGGAAGGGAGGGAGGGAGGGAGGAAGGAAGGAAGGAAGGAGGGAAGGAAGGAAGGAAGGAAGAGTGCAGAAGTGCAGAAGAAAGGCAAGGAGCAGGCCTCCCCTCACCTGGTCTCTAAGGTTTCACGGCCCCTCCTAGGCCAGAGGCAGGCATAACAAGGCTGACGTCCCCTGCCCTCTTACCAAAACTGTGCCCCAGCCCTCTTCACCAGCCCCACAGTTACTTCACCATCCTGCCTCAGTTACTCTCACCTGGCAGACCTTCCTGCAGCAGGGGATCTACTGAGGCCCAAGTCATTTCTGCCACTAAATACTGAGAAGGGGTGGTGGGCCATGGGTGGGCATGTTTGGGGGACATAGGGAGCCGTGGGTAGAGATGGAGCTAAGGCATGGGCAGGGCAGGATCTCCAGCACCTACCTTGGAGGTTTTCTCCCCTCCCAGGCCTGGGTCAGATGGAGAGCTGAGCTCTGCCCTTCATTCAGAACCAACCTCTCTCCTTTTGGCCCCAGGGGTCCTTACCTGGCTGTGCTCCCACCCCTGGAAAGACTCCTGCTCCCAGCCCAGGTCCATATCCTGGGGAGAAAGAGCCAGAAAGAGGAATAAAGAAAGGATGGGGGCATCAGGCTGAGAGAGGGACAGGCAGGAGAGGGCGCTCACCTGACTTCTGGGGCTTCACAACCCCTCCAGAGCCTGAGGAGAGAGATGAGGCAGGTGATGGGAGCCCAGGGACCAAGCCTCCCTCCTGGGTTCTCAGGTCCATATCCATTCTGAACTGAGAGGCCTAAGGTGGCGTCTGGGGCTCAGTGAAGTGGTGGCCCGGGAGAGTTCCCTGTCCTCTCCTCCCCACACCTGACACCAGAGCTTGCCAGGGTCTCTCCTGCCTGCCTTTCCTAAGCCACCAGTTCTGCCTTCGTGAGGTGTGGGAGAACTAGCCTAGTGGTGTCACGCCCCCAAAGAGGAACATCCTCATTTTCCCGCACCTCACCTGGAGAGGATGTTATATCTTGGCAAGTTCCTGCTTCTAGACCATTGGCATTACTAAACACTACTGAGACAGGGTAGGGTGTCAGGGAGGTAAGGAGCGGGGTGGGAGGTGGGGGGTGGGGGTGGGGGGAACTGCAGAAGTAGGGAAGGACAGGCAGCACCCGAGGAAGGCTCACCTGACTTTGGAGATTCCATACCCCCACCAACACCTGAGAAAGAGATGAAGGTCAATGAAGGTCACAGGCAGGATTCCCTCTTCCTAGGGACAACCCTTGGTTCCTGACCACCCCGGGCAGCCCGCCTCTACCTGTTCCATAGCCATTTGGAGCTGGAGAGCCTGTGAGGTGAGAAAGAGCTGAGTTGAGGAAGTGTGGGGTCCCAGTTGAAGTCAGGAGGGGGAGCCTTGAAATTCTCTGAGATCAAGATAGACACTAACAATCCGAAATGTCTCCCCAACCCCTATCATTCACCAGTTCTTGTCTCAGAGGCAACAGAAGAATGCTCTGAATGCTGACATCCTCTCATCCTGTGATGCTCCCCTGGCCTGGTGTTCCTGGGTCCCCGCTTAGATAGATGGAGGTGAAGGGTGTGAGGAAGAGAGAGAGGCTGGTAGAGCTCACTCACCTGGCTTTTGAGGTTTAGCACCTCCAAAGGCTGGAGAGAAAGAAAGCAGGTGAGTGCCCAGGGCCTCCCGGAACTACCCACCGCTCACACAGTCATTCAGGGAGTCTCCCCACCTCCTGGGGCTTAGATTGAAGAAGGTGGGCCCAGCATGAACATCCCCTCCTTTCTTCCATCTCTCTACCTTCCAGCCCTACCTTCCTTCCTTTTTCTAGGGTAGGGATGGGGTGGGACGGTTTTACTCTGTAACCCAGGCTGGCCTAGAACTTACTATGTAGTCCAGGCTAGTGAACGCTCTGTGATCCTCCCGCCTCAAGCTCTGAGTTTGGGGATTACTGGTGTGAACCGTCACACCCAGCTTCCCAGGGTTCTGAGTTATCTGCCTGTTTCCACTTTCCCTGCTGCTGGCCCTCCTTTTTGGGGGAGAGAGACTAGAGTGTCCTGCCTGGCCGGCCCTCAAGGCCTCGCTTCACCTCACCTGCTCCCAGACCACTGGAGGGGCTGTAGCCTGGGGGAGAACAAGAAGTTTAGTCTAGGCATGGGCAGAAGGGCAGGAGCCTCTCTGGACCACTGCCAACACCTCTGACAACTGAACCGCATCTGTAGCCATTCGGACTGCCAAAGCCTGTTGAGTTGGGGAGAATGTAGGAGGGAGCCTGGGAGGCTAAATGTGGATGCCACATCTGTTTGGGAAGCTCAGTTTCCCCTCTGGTCACATAAGGAGGCACAAGGACAGGCCCAGAGGAGCAGTCTGGGATTAGGAGACTGAAGCTGGGCTCCTGGCGTAGACAAAGGTGTCCAAGCTGTACCCCCGGCTGTTCGAGAAGCGGAGCTCACTTTGCTCTCCTCCTCACCCGTGTGTATAGCCCTCCCCTCCCGGCCAAAGATCTTCACCTTTGGGCCCTTCCCTCCCTGGAAACCCCCTCCCTTCCCCTCCTCAACTCCTCTCTTCATCCAGCCTCAGGGATCTGCAACAGGGATCCCTCCTCCTGCCCTTAGGACCCCATGGGCCCCTTCATGACACACAGTCCCACCGCTAAAGCCGCGAAGCCCCTCCACCTTCCGGCTCGCTGGTCCCCTGCTGCGGTCCCACCTTAGCACCCTGCCTTCTGTGCTGCCAGAACCTTCCTCCCTTCCTCTTGGCCTGCTCTCTACTCCTGACCAGCTCCAGCCCCTCTTCCAGGGGCCCCATGTTCTCAGGGACAAAACTCCCAGCTCTTCCAGGAGGATGAGTGTCTGAGCTTCCCACCCTCAAGCAGACATTGCTAATGTTGCCACTTGGGAAGAGATCCCATGTGAAGGGGCCTTCATATCTGGAGTCCCAGAGCTGGGGACCATCTAGGGGAGTCCCTAGAAAGCTCCAAAAAGGGTCAAAAGTGTCTAGAGGGCCACTTACCTTTCCCCACATTGGGAGGGAGCCGGGGCAGTCCTAAGGAAACAAAGGGGGTTGATATTCAGGGCTGGGATCTCAGGAATGGAAAGGAAGCAAAACTCAAATCTATCGCCAGTGCCCCTAAAATCCTCCTCACCTGAATTTTCTGCCTGCCTGGTCTCCCCTAGCCACAATGCCCACCCCTCCCTGATCACTCCAGAACTCAAGTTTTTTTTTAAATGGGGACATATGCACCCCAGACTAGCCTCACACTTGTTGTGTAGACATATAGCCATGAAACCCAGAATGATCTTGAACTTCTGGTTGCGCTGCAAACACTCTACCAAGTGCACTCCATCTCCACCCCGGGAACCCAGGCATCTAACCCCTGTTCTAGTCAAATCTCAGTCCCAGGCCAGCTGCCTGGACCCTCCCCAGAAGCCCACCCTCACCGCCTTGCAGGCTCCCAGGAGTCAGGCACAGCAGCGAGAGAGCAATGGGAAAGACCCAGATGCCCATGATGTCCAGGGATTGGGAGGGCTCAGCACCCTTTGGGCCTTTAAACAGCTTTGCTGGGAGGTTAGTCACTCAGGCCCCCAGCTGTGAGGGGCAGAGGATCTGCTTGCAAACCCCAGGAGGCCAGACCAGGGGCTCCCCCTGGAGCAGAACAGGCGCCTGGCCCACTGGGCCTCCCTATAATGTACCCCATCATCCATCATTGGTGTTGACAGCTAGGATAGACCTCCCTGGGGCTCCTCCACCCCTGTCAGTGACTCTGGTCCTGGCACCAGGCGGGAAGGGTTCAGATGTCCCCCCAGCAGCTGGGGAGAAGCAGGCTGGCACTGTAGGCCCAGCCCAAACACAGCTGTGGAAAAGGAGGGAGCAGGGCCAGAGGTCTGTTGATGGCTGGCACAGAGCTCTAGGAAAGTGTTAACTGTGTTACTAGAAAGGCAAATGGGAGATGCAACAGTGTATCAGAAGCGTCTGACCTGGATGTGAGCTATTGTCCTGTCCGATCCCCCCCCCCCCCCCCGGGGATCACTAGAAATAGACCTTTTGCCCCCAACTGAGGACTGGCTTGCTAGAGTCCAGTCCATATCCTATGCCCCTCCTCATTCCATGAGGGACAGTAGCACACAGGGATAGATGACTCCGTTTTCTGCTGTCTTGTTTCTTCTTTGTCTGCATGCATTGAGGAGGGGTAAACTCAGGATCTACTGCTTGGGATGGGTGGAGTAGGCTGTGGGAGGGGGGATGCTTGAGGACTTGGAGAACCTTTCATTCCTCCTAGGGCCTGGGCAACTGAACCTGGGCTTGGTGCAGGGGGGGCCTGGTAGGGGGTATTTAGGAGAGGTGAGCCTGGGATAAGCCAGGGTGGAGTCTGGCGGGTAAGTGCCCCCACTCAATGCCACCGTGAATCTGTGGACCCCAGTGAGCTGGCTGAGGATGGCACTGACTCAGCCCCTAGCCCTTGGACTCAAGTCCAAAAAGCCCCATATCCTGTCTGTCTGTCTGTTGGCTTTTCTCAAACCTAGCTAGGCCCTCCTGGAGCTGCTGGCTAGGGGGCTAATTCGCCGAGGCTGGCTTCCAGACAGGGTGGAGGTCTGGAGAGCAAGGAAGACACAAGGGGCCTTCTTGACATGGGGCCTCGGAGGCCGCCATCCTTACAAGCCCAGTTTAGTAGACTGCCGGCTAGCACCCAGCACCCTTCACTCACAGGCCAGCCCCAGCCCCAAGCTGGCTCTACAGCCCACTCACTCTTGGCTCCCCTACACTCAGGGCTACACCCCCTTCATAATCTCTTCCCACCCTGGGCTCTTGCTCATAGGCATGAATATGACCAGTCCTGTGGTATCTCTTGGCCTCCCCCCAATCCCACCTTTTGTACAAAGTTCCTTTGGTGATTGGGGGGGGGCTCAGCCCAGCACCTCAGCATAGCAGCACCCAGCACCCTGCTTTCATCCTGCTTGAATGGACTGCATCTTCCACTAGTCACTGGGAAGGATGCAGAGGTGGTCTGGCCCCAACAACTTCCTAAGAGTCCAGGATAGAGAGAAGGCTGCTTGCCTTGCCTAAGTGCTGCTTCTCTGATCCTCTTCACAGAGGCCAGCCGAAAGGATCGAAGGCAGGGCAATGAGTTGACCTTGGACCTTGGGGGCACATCTGGTCTTTCTGAGTCTGCGTACTTTCCTCCAAAGTGATGACAGTAAGAGCCCCTTGGGCCAGGGCTATTGGGACTTCTTGTTTTATAGGTAGGGAAACAGAGGCAGAGAGAAAAAGGCACATGGCCCAAATAGTACAACTCCTAAGTTGGGCCAGAGTCTGGTCCCAAGCAATCCAGAGAGTTCTGAGTTCCCTCTCCTGCTCTTAGCTTTCCCCATGCCCCTGAGCAGGCACAGGCCCAGCGAGCTTCAGAGCTGGGACAGCTGGGGCCCCCTAAGCAGAGCCAGACATACAGACACACAGGACTCATTTACAGGGCGCCAGGGAGGTAGGAGGAGAGATTCCAAGGGGCTACACGGGAGGTACACTGTGACAGCCTGCTTGGCCAGTGCCAGGCTGCCGGAGAGCTGGCACAGGCCTGTAGAAAATACCAGCCAGCCGGGTCCTTGGGCCAACTTGATGTCTGCTCAAGACCTGCAGACATCATTTCTCCACCCAGCTCCACCCAGGCAGTCTAAGAACACAGATTTGGGAGTTCGAAGAACCCCTGGTAGAGCACTAGTCTGGCTGTTGAGCACCTTTGGCTAAGGGGATGTGGCCCGGATCTAACTAGAAAAGCAACTAGAGGGGTTATGGCAGGGGTCTAGGAGGTAGCTGGGACGCTGGAAGCGCAGGACTGATGCCCAGGACACGCGTCACCTAAAATGGCAGCCTGCATCAGAGGATTCCCTGGCAGTTGTTTGACCCCCGGCAGCACCTGTGAGGGCGGGAATTCGAGAGGACAGCTGGAGACACAGCCAGGCGCCTGTGGGCAGACATCTCCCTCACCAACAGCTGCGCTGCTGCTCCTCCTCAGCTGCCCCTTCCGCCCTGTGTCGGCCACATCTGAGCTTCCGACTTCCCTCGGCTGCCTTTGGGACACCTTCCCAGACATTACCCAGGCACTCACAAATGGGCAAAGCTGACCTCTGTTAACCTCTTCTCTCACCCACCTGCCAATTATTAGAATTTCTGCAACTGTGAAATATGATATACACGGAGAAGCATACACGAGACAGAATTATACAACTTAACAAATACTCAAACACTATGCAACTGAAACAGAACGTAGACAGTTCTCAGAAGAGTCCATCATGGTTTCCTTAGTATCTCCAGGATTCCATCTGAGACTATCATTTTCTCCTCCCCTTTCTTGTCTTCAGTTCCGTTTGTGATCCCATCCGAGTGAGGGAATCTTCCTCAGAGTCTGGGAGGTGTGTGCAGCTCTGTGGTACTGTTGTAACGAAGTGTCACACTAGGTGTCTTGGATGTGGGGGGGAGGCTTGTGGTCTCTAGCACCTGGCCCAGGTTTGGAGGCGTCCAGTGCAAGAGTCCTGGTGTTTTGTTTCTGGTGTTTTGGTTGTTGTTGAGACAAGGTTTCATATTTAATCTTGGCTGGCCTGAAATTTGCAATGTAAACTAGTCTGGCCCTGAACTCTGAGAGACTGACTTGTCTCTGCCTCTGAATGCTGGGATTAAAGGCATGCACCACCTTGTCCAGCTAAGTCCTGGTTTTGGTCTCTTTGGGAATATGCCTCTGTCTGTGACACCAAAGTGTGACTCCTGACTTAAACAGCTCTGCTTATTATGGTCTTGACTGATGCAACCCATGTTTGATGTTGTATCAAGGAGAGAGAAGTCTCTTCCACTGGAGCAGTGGTTCTCAACCTTCCTAATGCTGTGACTCTTTAATATAGTTTCTCATGTTGTGGTGACCCCCAACCATAAAATTATTTTCACTCCTACTTCAAAACTGAAAATTTGCTGCCATTATGAGTCATAATGTACATATCTGTGTTTTTTGATGGTCTTAGGTGGCCCCTGTGAAAAGGTTGTTAGACTCCCCAGAAGGGTCATGACCCACAGGTTGAGAACCACTACACTAGAGGCGCCACCATCTAACCCATAAAAAGTGCTAAACCAACCATTCCCAGGGTGGTCCTCTGCTGCTACTTCGTGCATATTTTCACTTCCTAAGCCAAGCTTTGACTTTCTCTGGCCTGCTGCTTCTGTTCATACATTTTTTTTTTCTTTTTTAGCAATGAGACCATGAACCTGGACAGGAAAGGGCTGACCTCTATGGTCAGCATCTCCTACAACCAAAGCAGTTCACATGTATTTTCTCAACTAGTTATCATTTCTGCAAGGAGGGAGGAGCCATTTATTTTGCACATGTGGAGACTGGCAGAGCAGTACTACAGCCTTTATTTCCCTGACACAACATCTGTATACTTACCTGCAACTTCTACTAATTCGTGTTTATTGCATGTGTAGGCAGCCTTTCTCTACAGAGTGAGATATTTGTTGAAGTATGCTGCTGAAATGAAATGTTTATACTTATCCCTGTAATGCTGAGGATTGAACCTAGGGTTTCACACATGCTAGGCATGAAGTCTATGACTGAGCTGACAGCCTAGTTATTTTACTTCCTTCCCCATTTCCCTCAAAAGACAGGGTTCAAGTTGCTAAAACTGCTTCCCCTCTTTTGAGACAGGGTCTTGTTATGTAGCCTTGGCTGGCCTGAAACTTCTGATATAGACCAGGGTGGCCTCAAACTCAGAGATCCTCCTGCCTCGTTCTCCCCAGATCCCCAGTGCTGAGATTACAGATCTCCACCACTATGCCTAACTTTCATTTGTTTGTTTGATTGGTTGATTGATTTTGAGATGGGGTCTTGTTATAGTGCCCAACTGGCTTCCAAATTCTGGGTTCACATCTTTTTGCCCCAACTGCCTCTGAGCTTGGGGTATAGGCATGTGCCATTACATTGGGGTTTTGTTGTGGTGGTTGGTTTCAATCATTATAAATTAAACTTTGAGGATTGGACAGTTGAAAGTGGGTGGGGCCAGTTGGAGAGGGACCTGTCTGGGGTCCTCAAGGAGGACTAGTCTGAGTCACAGGTGCCCTGGCTCTCAGAGACCTAAACCAAAGGAAAAGGTTTGGAGGTGGGATGCCTCCCCCCCCCCCCCGTGCTTGGTCTTTATAGCCACAGCTGTGTTTGGTCTGGGCCTAGATTCTCGATTAAATAAAGGTCCCCTTTGCGAAGAAGCAAGCTCCACGCCACGTTTGTTCTGCGCAGGCTTTCTGCTAAACACTTTAAAGGAATCATCCTAGGTTCATTGGCTCACTTTTACAAGAGAGGTGACAATCCGAAGCTTGGAGATGGCTGTGCCGGGATCTATGACTGCTTCTGTCTGGTCTGGAGCTGACCCCAATGCCTACCTTTTTCTTTAGGCTCATCATAATTTTGTTTTCTTTAATATGGTATTTGTTTTGTTTTGTTTTTGGTTTTTTTTTTTTTTTTTTTGGTTTTTTTC